TAAAATTTAGGTAAAATGAAAAATGTGGATTTTTTCCTGCCTGTATTAATAGTTGTAAAATGGGATGCCAGTCAATTTGAGCGGATGTCAGTTCGAGCGGATGCCAGTTCGAGCGGATGCATTTAGTGCGAACTATAACAAGGGCAAATTTTATTTTGTTTTAAATGCAAAAAATGCTCTGATTACTAAGGACCTGAAAGGTTTTTAGTACTTTTTGATAATTACTCCATGTTTGAATTACAGTCTTGGTAACACCGACTACCAAGATGGCCGCTAACAAATTCAGCTTAAAAAAGAAGAAAGTGTATGTTTTACTAGAGTTCACGAGAAGCACACAGACAAGACGAGTGACAATTATTTTTTTCACGGTAAACAAAGTGGGGTGGCTAGCCACCCTATTCAACACCCCCCTTCCCCAGATCCGCATCCGCTAAAAAAAAATTCCGCTCGAATTGGCCTTCGCTTGAAGTGGCATCCGCTCGAATTGACTGGTTTCTGTAAAGTGACTCTTTTGTCCTTTTTTATTGTAATAATTATTATACAGTGTACAAACCTTCCTCTTCCTCCAAAGAGCATGTATCAGCTGCAACTCGTTCCTTGTAGTAAGGCACTAGCCACCGGAGGGCCTCCCACTCCTTGCTCACAGCATCCTGGATTTCGGCCACGCCTGCACCTGATCTCATCTTTTTTTTTTAAATCTTTAAGGTATCTACAGGCATAAAAATATAATATTGTACTGTAATAAAATAATACTAACAAGAAGTCCAATCTACCCCACTGGACAAATCTCAGTGCAATTATTCAAATAGGGGAGGGGACGTTTATAAAAAAAAATTATTTTATGAAGAGTATATTATTGAATTAGCATTTTGCGTTACAAAATTTTACTAGGCTTAAAGAGGGAAACACAACAAAATTTTGTTTGTCTTCAAGAAAGATAATGTATGAGAAACCGTCTTACCTCGAAAAGCGAGTACGCACATTTTTATATGCCCGTTCTACAAGATCTCCCGTCCAGGCTGCCTCTCCCCTGCATTTTACCTTCATGTAGTTCAACTCGTCCGCCACTTTTTCTAGAGCATTTTTTTTCATAGTTCTCTTATTTTTGTAGTTGGCAGCCCTTCTTTCATACAATATTTTGAATCTCTGCACAACTTCTATAAGGATTTTTCACTATGGTCCATCTTTGGTCTAAAATTTAATGATAAACAATATATTAAATAATTTTCAATAAATACCTAGGCCTAGGCTAATGGAGGGCCTTCTAAAAAAAAATAAAATCAAAATAGAAAAATCAAAAACGGAGAACTAGGCCTGGCCTAGAACTAGGCCTACATTACATACAAATGACATATCATTCTATAAATTTGTGAAATACAGTGTACTTTTACTAGGCCTAATCCATGAGATACCGGTATATGATAATTGAGTCTAATTGTCTAACTAGGGCTCAGATAGTTACGCTAGACTACGCTTGGCAGCTTCCTTTCCATAGGAGTGATTGCCTTGCGTTCCATTGCAGATGCCTAGCCTACCTGGACCTAGCAGCATAGGCCTATTATTATAGGCCTCCTAGCCTAGACTAAATGGGAGTGTGGGAATAAGTAAAATCGAATGGCTACCTGTTAGGTTAATTATCATAATAATATATTACATATCAATAATAGGCCTATGTCTATCAATTTTCAAAGTACTTACATTTGAGTTTAGAGCAAGGAGACGGAAATTGCTTCGTGTACTAGCACCCACACACCGCACATCACACACAGGCCTAGCGCGCAAAAACAGAAAAGTTTCAATGACATCATCAATGGATAATTTGATTGGCCAGTTCTTACGCTGTCTCTTATACACATCTAGATGTGTATAAGAGACAGGCTCCAAGCAACAGCTGTCTCTTATACACATCTAGATGTGTATAAGAGACAGGTTCTTACGTTTTTCGTCGTCAAAGTTGAACCCGCTTCAACTTCAACGATTGCTACCGATAACGATGTCTAGCGTCAATTTGCGATCGATTTTACCCCTTTTCCTGTAAATCGTTAAAGTTTACCGATATTCATAACGTCGGCGTTGAAGTAGCAACAATCCCTTTTCCTGTAAATCGTTATTTTTGTTTGAATAACGATTGAGATAACGTCGATTAACGTCGACAGGAAAAGAGGCTTAATGCAGGCTGGCCTGGCGAAGACGAACCATAGGCTGGCTGGGTACTTACGTGTGTGTAGGCCTATGCTTTTATGTATTAAACCACACATTCAAATCAGTCAGTAGCGATGAGTGTATGTACAGCACATTATTAATTAAATAAAATGTAGGCCGACAGTCGTATTTAATGGGGAAAGAATGGATTTCTTTTTTCTCGATTTACCATGGGATGGCTAGCAACTGTCACTCGTGGACGCCGTTGTCCATACGGTAATGATGAAGATAACGTTCGTGTACCTATTGAATGATGAGACTGTCATCGTTCATGATTAAAGTGCCTTTCATTTTCAATGGATTACATTCCATTCCAACCATGGTATAACCAGTCGATGGATAGCAGCCCAGTAATGAGATATTTGTTTAGATTTCACAGCGTGTTCTATAGCTACCTCCTCTATTTATTTAAATCAACGGCGTCCACGAGTGACAGTTGCTAGCCATCCCATGGTAAATCGAGAAAAAAGAAATCCACTCTTTCCTCATTAAATACGACTGTCGGCCTACATTTTATTTAATTAATAATGTGCTGTACATACACTCATCGCTACTGACTGATTTGAATGTGTGGTTTAATACATAAAAGCATATGCCTACACACACGTACGTACCCAGCCAGCCTATGGTTCTTCTTCGCCAGGCCAGCCTGCATTACAGTACTTTGACACGAAATGTGCTGTACATGCACTCAACGCTACTAACTGATTTGAATGTGTGGTTTAATACACATAAAAGCAACTTGTAGCCTACATTACCTGTAATATTTGATCTACTACACACACATACTACCCAGCCAGCCTCGTCGTCGTCTAGGCCAACCTGCATTACAGTACAGTACATTGTTTTTCTCTCAGAGAGACTGCCCTCCCTTGCAAGCACCACAAAACGGCTGTACATTCTTCGCTACCAACTACACTCGTGCAAACGCATTTATTAGCCGCAAAGCTTATCATTCCAGGCCGTGATTGGTTAATAAACACCATGTGGAATATACAGGCGATTAGCAATCTGATCAATGATGAACACGCTTTCTTAGTGGCAAGATATATGCTATAAAAACATACAATTTCACATATCCCAACAATATTTTCGCAAAAACTCTTCATACTTTAAATTCCCCAAGCCTTCTCTTCCATATTACTGCAAGATCACCTTAATCGTGTCACAAACGAAGGAAGAGATAGAAAAACAAATGACTTCAAAATTTGCTTAAAATCATCATAATAGCCCTCTCTCTCAAAAAATGGGCTAATAATCTTAAGGTCTTTATCTGTCAGAACTGAAATGTGAAAAAGTAAAATACACACGCAAATATATGCATGTAACTTAATATTGCTATGTATTCAGTTAAAAAATGAAAGAAATATTGTTACTAAACATAGTCATATACACAGTCAAATTTAACCATACTAATGTTACATTAAACATAATTACCACATAATAATACTAGCAACATACAGTGCGCGATAAACGTTATAATGCAAAGCGTAAATATTAAAAATGTAGAACTTGTACAACTGGGTATAATCACTCTACAGACTGTTTCATGCTAATGCAATCTTCAAGATTGAGAGAATACAAGGATTGTGTGAGTATATGAATTCTAAGGCAGGTGAAAATGAAAATGAGTTAATTGTTTTTAATTAAGTATTTGTTGTTGTGCCTGCATTTAGACAATAGCTGGGTTCTTTTGTTTAGTATTGACTGTCTGAATATATTATGTGAAGTTTTTCGGTTATGCATAGGTTGCAGCGTTTTGTTTTTGGGGAGTAAGCCGATGCTCTGTCGATAATAGACCATTTGATATTGTAGGGTGTGTTGCTGTCTTTTAATTTCCATACGTATTTGGAGAGTACAGTGCTGTTTCTGTGTTTGGGGGTGTTAAAAGTGTATTTGTGGTTTGTGTATCGGGTTTTGAACGGTGTGTCGGTGAGCCCGATGTAGCATTTTGTGTCATCATTTGAGTGGCTAAGCAACAACAGCCAGATAAACTCTGCAATTGCAGGAAAAAAGATGAATGTCCACTCTCTGGAAATTGCCTCACCTCATCCATCATCTACAAAACCACTGACCACAATCCTTGTATTCTCTCACTCCTGAAGATCCTGAAGAAGTTATTTAGCCTTTCTTAAACAAAGCTGCATGTTTAAGTAACAATCAATCACAAACGATATACGTGATTATAATTCGCCTTTGGAAAAATATATTTCTTTATTAGAGGACCACAATGAAATACTTCTATGTAACAATTTCGATTCACTCACTAAACTGTGTACTTAAATCATAAATGGCTACACATGTCTTCATAATTACAGTACAAAATATTTCAAAAACATACGTACACAACAACCCCTACAACAACCATATATCCTTTAATATCACTGTACACGACATCACACCTTTCCTACGTAAACATAACAAAAAAGGTCTATGATGATGCATACAACTACTATAACTTTAAATGTTTTTTTTATGCTCAAAACATCCCAGGTAGCAAGGAAACATGTGCCCCATATGGGAAATGCATGGGCCAAAATGTGGGCCCCCTACAGTTTGGCCTATACGGGAATGAGCTGCCTGTGCACCCTAAATCCTTAAGGGTCCCTTAATGTTTGGCCCAAATGCAAATGTGGGCTCATTAAAGAATGTATTTGGGTCCCTTAAGGTTTGAATTATGGTGTCATTTGGGACCCATATGGGTTTGTCCAAGTTAATTCATGGGCCCATTGTGGGCTCTATCTGGGTTTTTAAGGGGTTGAATCGGGGTTGAAATGTAAGGGGACCCTATAAATTGGCCCATATGGGAAAGAGCTGCCTGTGCACCCTAAATCCATATAGGCCCTATAAAGTTGCCCCAAATTAATTTATGGGCCCTTTAACGAATATATTTGGGCCCCTTAGATTTGCATTATTGTTTCATTTGGGATCCATATGGGTTTTACCAAATTAATTCATTGGGCCATTATGGGCTATATCTGAGTTTTTTGAGGATTGAAATGTAAGGGGCCACTATAAATTGGCCCATGCGGGAACGAGCTGCCTGTGCACCCAAAATCCACAAGGGTCCCATAAAGTTTATCGGCCCCTTAAAGGATATATTTGGGCCCCCTTATGTTTACATTATGGTTTTATTTGGGACCTATGTGGGTTTTGTCCAAAATAATTTACGGGCCCATGCTGGGCTATATCTGATTTTTTTTCAGGGCTCAATAGGAATTGAAATGTAAGTGGGCCACTAAAATTTGTTGGGTACTGTATTGTGTTATTCATAACTGGTCCAAGTTCCAAATGGTTTTTAGCTGGTCCCGGCCCAGTTCCAACTTGTCTTCAGCTGCTGGTCCCAGTTCCATTTGGTCTTCAATTGGCCCCAGTTCTATCTGGTCTTCAATTGGTCCCAGCTCCTTGTTGTAAAATAACAATGTCTTTAATTGACTCCTGTAGACTTACAAAATACACCGAGTTTAAGATATACAAACCATAATTTCTTTAATTAAAAAACATCAGCTGTACTTCATGGGGTATGGACTTGCATACCTCTTCACATATCATTTGGCTTAAGTCTTTACTGTTACACCTACAGTCCTGTTTATATCAGCATTTTGTCGATAATTATAAGCCTATTATATCAAAGCATCACCAGAGTTTATAAATAGAACCATATTCAAGAATCGTTTGCATCAAGCATGCATATAAACCAACATTCTTTGTGTATTGAAGCAGCATCTCTCCGTAACCATGCATTTTCTTCTCTAAAATCTTACTAAAATTTAAGATAGTATGAATTCTACACAAATCTAGTTCGAAATATTGAATCAAAATGGCTTGTTGGCATTAAATTTTCTCGGAGTTCCACAATTGCTGAAAGATACAAAAAAAAAAATTCTTTAAAACAGAGCTGAGCAAAATATGCATTTTATAGTCCTTGGCATTTAAAAAATGCATTTCATAGTCCTTCAATGGCATTTCGAAAAAAAGTGATTGAAAACTCACACTATACAAGTCAAAAACAAAATCAGGGGCAGGGGAAAATTGTCTTCTGTCAATTAAAATATGCAAATTGCTATTTTTGTTTAATGAAGGTGATTTTGCTGTCTGTGTCTTTAGGCAAAGAATGAATTAGTAAATGTACAGTACATAAAACATCCCTACTCAAATTTAAAATCTGTTATTTCCCTTCAAAATCCTAGATATTAAAATAAGAGTACGATATACATAATGTACTGTAGCTAATATAATAGACTAGCAGTTTTTTATTTTATCAAAAGTGAATTATCAGTTCCAATCCTGTTTCTTATTTTTTTTTAGTTTTCAAAACAGCTTCAAATTAAATATTGTGCAGACAGTACATTACGGTGTTACAGTGATATCCATTATAGGCCTATTACATCACATTATATTTTATTAGTTATAACCTCCATCATGGTAGTAAGTACAGTAGAGTGTGTTTATTTGGAGTATGATTCATAATTAGAACCTACAGTACAGTAGGCCCCTAAACTTAAAATCTAAACAATACATTTTATTCACCTTTGAAAGTCAGGCAATTTTCTGTTTCCGCAACTGCCACAATAAGGCTTCAAACAAACATCACTTTACTGAGAGACCTGCTGAGACTGAGTGACCAACATCT